GGCCAACATCGCATCGGGCGAATATCAAAGAATCCAAATTCTCGGCTGCAGCCTTCTGAATACAGCCGTTGCGATTGCAGGTTGACTCCCTTCGATATCGCAAATTGGCCAAGCATCTTGAGCAGAGATTCGTGCAAATGTGGCAAGTTAGGCAAGCAAGGAACACCGATTGTGCAATAGCAGCCCATAGGGCCTATCCCAAATGACATGCCGGTAAACCTCAGATATCAGACCATCTGAATCTTGTTGAATTTCGGGCCCGGAAGCGCCTTCCGCAGCATTCTGAGCTGCGGCAGGTCTTCCCGCAGGTACGGCGCTGACCTAGACTATTCACGCGCGACACTTGATGAGCTGGACGGCAGAGCTTGCTGGCGTGCTCTTGGCTACACCCGTGTAGGAATGCTGGTCTGAGCTGGGCTGGCACCCTGCAGTTGGGAGTTTGAGACTGCGGAAGGTCCGGCTTCCATGCCGTTCTTGTCCGCGAACGTGATGGCGCTCGTCGTGTTTTACCACGTGGCTTAAGTCCTTTGACCGCCTATCCTTCGGGGGCTTTGGGACAGGTCCTGCGAGGGACCCCAGTTCCCAGCTTCGCAGCTCGGGGCGACGCTTAGATTTCAATCCCTGAAGGGCTCAGCCTCCGGCCCTGGTGGGAGATTGACGACCCCAACGTCTGCATCGCACAACACCAGGCCGTGCCTCGCACTGAGGATATTCAAAGCAGTGAGTCCCTCATGATCATGGTGCTGTGGTGACACTTTAACTCTCAGAGACGACAAACATGAGTCATGGTCATGGTGGCGAAGACAATGATGCCATTGCTGGCAGTGGCGATGGTGATGATGTGGTAGTGGGGTTGTGGCGGAAGTGCCGGTCGTCACGAAATATGTCAGAAAGCTGTTCCTGATCCGTTCGGGAAGCCTACCACTGACCACTACGACTTACGAGCTCCGCTTCTAGCAGCATAATACTCTACAGCCAACTGCTTCTAATGCTACATACTCCTGCTACTGCTACTACTACTGCTACTACTACTACTACTACTACTACTACTACTACTCCTACTCCTACTCCTACTCCTGCTGCTGCTGCTGCTGCTACTGCTACTACCACTGGTCTCATCTCACTACTGCTACTACTACTACTGGTACTGCAACTGCTGCTGCCTTTGCTTCTGCCTACTACTGCTGCTGCTACTACTGCTACTGCTACTGCTACGGCTACTGCCATTCCACCGCAAATACCACTACCGGACAATGTCGCCACTACCACTACCGCAACGTCTACCATCGCTACGCTACACGACTCTACACTACACTACGCCACACTACGAACACTACAAACACTACAAACACTACACTACGACCACTACTGCTACTACTACTACTACTACTACTACCACCACCACCACAACTTCTCCTTCTACTACTACTAATGCTACTAATACTACGACTCCTCCTGCTGTTACTATGCCAACTACGACTACTGCCGCCGCCGCTACCGCAACTGCTGCCAATGCTGCTTTGTACTTTTGCGGTTCCCTCCCATGCCAGCTCTTGCGCGTTCTGCTGCACCTATTCCGACGATCACTGCGTAGAATGGCTGTTTCGCAACACTACGCAGGTGCAAAACGCTTAGTGAAACCCATGCGCCTTGAGGCGGCTGGGCCCATAACACTCCGGGGCGTGAACCTCGGAACTTCGGCTAGGCGTACTGTTGGTTCAGGTGCTTCATTCCTTGTCCGGGCAGTCTGCTTTTCAGGCTTGAAGGTTCAGTGCGAAGCCATAAATGTGTGCTGTCATGAGAGGTGCGAGCACCTACAGGCTTAACAGGAGATTGGCTTGGTGTGGCTGCCCATTAAAATCACCATCAGCTCTCATGCCTGGCTTCACGCGCTTGCGAAGCTCAGACGATTTTACTGTTTGACTACTTCTTTTTCTGCTCGGCCGCTTCTGCCTGCGCAAGCACAGCAGCAATGCAAGGACGGCCCAGGAAAGGCACCGCTTAGTGCAACAGGAATCCAGTTGTTGAGCTTTGCTTGCGATGAAGCGTCTCTTCATCGCAGCCGGGATCTCGACCAGTCGGTCCGAAGGTCCCTTCCGAACATGCTTTCGACCCCGTAGGGCCTATCTCAGAAGCTACAGCTTCCCAAGCGCCTCGTCCCTGATCCATATGGACCCCAGAAATCAAGTTGTAGAAAGCTGCAGTGCTGCTAAGAGAGCAAATGTTGACGGTGCTAGAAGGAACCTGCAGCACAAGTCATGAAGCAGATTGGGAAACACTTCGGGGCTTCTCGCGGCATAGGAAGAGTCTGCACTGATACTCATGATCTACTTCTCTTTTGCTTGGGCCACGCTCAGGCAAGGCCCCGCTCAAGCCTGCAAGCAGAGGAGCCAGCCGTCAGCATAGGCAGGATGCAGGCGAGCATGCACATGGTGCTCAGTATGCACCACCATTACATCTTTTCATCCGCTGCTATGATTCAACGTGTTACTACCATCCGAATCAAACCATCACCTGGTCATCGTCATCGTCCCGAGCAAAATTGTCCTCTTCATGTTCGGAAGGAGTTAACAGACCATGCCATAGGTCTGGCCATTATTACGACCCCGCGAGTGCTTCGCGATTAGTTAAGCTCGTGGCACATACTGTTCACACATTTACGGCATTACTTGTTCTGGCCCGTAACCCACGGCAACCTAACGGGCAGGTTGTATGCACTCGGTCATTGGACCCCGTAAGTCACAGCACCCACGCTCCAATCATTCCTGATATTCCTGCCACGGTCGAAAAACTTCAACAACAGTTAAAACAGACAAACCTCGCATAATGTATATACCTTAGTGCGCCTGTATAGGTGTGCATTTGTGTGCACAAAACATAAACACTTAACAATGCGGGGGGGGGAGGGGTACATATGTATGCACGCATGCATACATGTGCACGTCTGCATATGACTCCCATATATAAGCGCCTATTGCACAACCTATCAAGCTGCAACCGATCGGGGCCTCGCTGGCTCGGCGTTTCGTCAAAAGATGCGACGTTTCAGTTGGCGGCTCCTCATCAAGGCGCTCCACAATCAATCCCCATTCCAAAAAAACTGAAACACGTACACCCGCACATGCATGCACATGTACAGTCGCTTCTGCATACACAGATACGTTCGCACGTGTATTCGCTCACACGTTCGCACTACATTCGTACATCATGCATTCACATACAGCCATACATACATGCATACATACACACCTACCTGCCCACCCACGCCTGCCTGCCTACTTACTTCTCTCCCTCCCTACCTACTTACGTACATTGATACATAAATCCATCCATGCATGTATGTCGGCCTGCAGGCATGCAGGCATGCAGGCAGGCAGGCACACGCATTACGTCATTGAGCATGCAAATGAAGGACAGACAGGCTCTCAAAAACCGAAAACAAAAGCCCCTAATTCTGAACTCAAAAACGGTGAGCCCTAAAGTCTCAAAGCTGAATTCCTTGCATCTCTTCCTCTCCGCTCCGGAGCAGCTTTCAGGGCTGGCCTTGGAGGCTTCCGGCGCGTCGCTGTCGGTGCCAACAGAATCCTCCCAGCTTGTACTCTCACACAGACAATCCAAGCGAGACAAGATTCGGCACATGACGGAGCTCTTGAGCTCTTTTTGCTTTCAGGAGCGCGTCAGCATGATCATACTAAGGCCAACGCGACGACGGGGTTTGAGTAGTTATTGTGGCGTTTACTTGACACTGTTTCAGTTCGACTCCTCAAGCGGTAAGGTTCCACGTCGCCAGGGATTCCCAGCAGGAAACAATCTTTGATCTTCCTGTCTAGTTCAACTGGTGCGATTGCTAGGGGATGTCGCATCAGTCAAGTTCCTCTGCTTGAGGGTCCGAAGGCTCAGAAGCGTATATCACTAGTCTAGCACAAGATTCGGAAGATCAACACAAGCTTCTTGAGACCCATGTGAGAACTCCAGCCGAATTCAGGGCAATCCCTGCCAAAGCTAGAAAAGAATACTCACCTGCTGTTGCAGCGCCCACCATCCCCCCCGAACTCCCAGTGGTGGTGGCCGTCGTGGCAGCAGTGGTTGTTGTCGTCGTGGTGGCGACTTGCGACGAGACGTTTCGGCCGTCATTGTTCACCATGCCATCGAGGTTCCAGTCGATATTGACCGCAGCGAAGTCCAAGCAATACACGGCTGACATGGGTAAGGTTGTTTCTTGCACGTTTGTTGGTGTGCCGACACAGGAACTGTTGCTATACGTGACACGGAACACCTTGTCGTAAATGATCGTGTACACCGTTCCAGTTCCGCTCCCATCGCCGGTGCAGACATCAGTCGGCATATGCTCAGAAGGTTGGCCAACGTAGCGCTTCTCGAAAGCCTGTCGAAACGGTGTTGCAAACGCCGATGAGGGGAAAGTACTGGCGAGCTTCTTTGTCACCATCGCTGCGGGACTTGCATACACCTACATCCTGTCTCTCAGAGCTCATGGAGCTTCCGGAGCAATTCACGTTGTTGTAGTACAAGCTCACCTGCTCTGCAGCAGTAGTCACGGCCTCCATAAACAAACTCCCGAATATGAATTGGCATCCTTCGGGCTGCAACGTAGGGGTTTGCGCAAGGCACGTGGCATTCATGGAGTCGCACACTGCAGATTTTCCGCAGGCAGAATTGTCATCACCAAAATTTACTCGGACGGAGAGATTCACATCGCCGGCACCATCCACGACACCAGTGGAGACTGAAGGGTTTGCGGACGCCATCGCGCCGAGACTGCCAATCATCACAAAGGACAGCATTGTGCCCTCCGGATTCCAACCACTATCGCGGGTGGTTCGCGCTGTAGCCAATACGCTCTTGGGTTTTTGCCAACGGCTTCAACCCCCTAGGCGAGGCTGCAGAGGTCAAAAGTTCTCGAGTCAACACTTACATTGCATCCAGGCGGTGCTTGGCGGAAGATGTGAATCCATGACAGATGGCTGATGGTTGACGTCGGTTCATTCTAAGTCTGAGCCTGCCTCATGGTCTTGGAGGTTCCGCTTGTCTGAGGCATAGGTGCAGAAGAGCCTCACTTGAGCGAAGTTGAACACACCGCATGTAGCTAGACGTGTAGCTTGAATACCTGCGAAGTGGAGGCTCTCTAACCAGACCGAGCTGCATGGTGAAGATCAGGGCCGAGATGATGCATGGCACAATCGAACTGAAGCAGAGCGACTTCCCCAACGCCTGCGATCTGAAGAGTCGCAGAGGTCTGTGGCTGGAAGGACCGCGAGACTGCAACTGAGGCAGAGAAAGGCGTAGCTGGTCTCGGTGGAGATGTATTACCGCAAACCAACTGATTTTCAACATTGCTGGCAGGGCTTACGCCGCTGCTGCTACTGCTACGACCACACAAGTGTGCACAAGAGGCCTCCTGAATTTCCCTCGTACTCTAACTCAGGCAGGGCAGTGCAGCGACGCCTCTGCGTTGCGCTCGCGCATGTCGACACTCATGTCTTCCTCAGCTGGAAGACGAATCTCGCCAAGAATTCAGCACCAGGAACACGAAAGAAAGCCCGCCACATGCAGCGCTGGTAGGATCATTACAGCGAAGACAAGGGTTCAGCTTCAGCGGCAATGCTTTCTGTCGTGAGCTTGTAGTGGAAAATCTTCTGCGCTGTCACCCCTGGCCAGCAGGAGGTGCTGTAACAAACACACCAGACCAACGGAAAACCGGTTCATTCTTCCTGTCAGGGCATCCGCAATTGGTTTCTGCACAGGGTACTGCAGGGATGTCGTAAGGCCCGAACCCACCAGCATGGGCCCGATCATGTTGCCACTGGTGAACACGATGGCCACCTCGAATTAAGCACCATCGAACGATGCTTCGACTGGCCAAGATGCTAGATCTTGAACGGGGGAAGTGACCACAGACTTGGACAGCACTTTCCCACAACATGGCAAACTTTGTACAATCAATGTAGAATGTAGAATCTAGCCTGCCCATAGGGCGCAAATCCCTTCCGTGAGCAGTTTGTCCATCACAGCCGATCCATCCCCAGCTGGCGAGCAAACCGTGCCGACTCGTTGCGTTCCAAGCGAAGGCCGATGATAGCTGGCGTCGGGGCACGATGTCAATCCTGGGCCGGAGTGTGATCTGGAAAAGACAATTCTGTAGAGTCTGCCAGGATCCAGTCGGTCTACGGTTTCATTGGCGACCGTTTGGAAACCCGTGAACAGCAACAACTCCTAGGGATGTTTTCCTGAGATTGACCATTGCATCACTCGACAATATGATCCGACGTAAGAATGCACCCTCATCCCTGAAATCATTTTTGGCTCCCGCTTGGCTGATCCGAAGACCGCATTGCAGGTCACACGTAACTATGCATGTTGCAGCACCAGCCCATCCTTGCAGGTAGCTTTTCTGAGAAGGGACTGCAGCGCAAATGCCCTCATAAGCTCTCCCTCCTCCCTAACTCCATCATGTTCGTTACATTCCGTACCTGGGCCTAAGGGATGCTAGCAGCCGATAGCATCGGCATCTCGTAATCCTAGCCAAATTAGACAAAAGCTGGGCTCCCAACACCACGGGGCACAGGCACCCCGCAACCTCCCAGGATGTGAAGACGCCACTGGTGAAAAGCAGACCAGCAAAGAACGCCTGAGCAGCGCACGAGACAGGAATACTAATACAGCAGGCAACAACAAGACAGCAACGGAGTATGCTCAATTTTTCGACGGGAGGCTGACAAGTCCTGGCTCTTGGAAACCTGTCAGTTTGCGATCGTCTGTCGGGCTGCCAACAGTGACTGCTTTGCGTCAACATGCCGAAGCCACGCCCATGAAGATGGCATAAAGAAACGGTATGTTCACCAGCACCGAAAACATCGCAATGAAAATCCTGAGAGCTCGGACAGCTCTTGTCTGTTTGTCATTGATTAGACTTCTTCGCGGGTCCTGCCATCGGTGGGTCGCCTCATGTGCGCAATGTCCCCGAGGTAACCTCGGGTACAAATTGGCTTCCGGGAACTGCGCACGCAGAGCTTTCCTCCCTTGTGCCTGGCCAGGTTCCCGGAGGCCACACTGTCTCAATCAGCTGGGAGTTTTAAATGTGACTTCAGCAAAGCATTCAGCAAAGGGGCCACCCAGTGCGTTGCCAAGGCCTTCTCCGACTGTGCCTTCGCTCATGGTCTGAAGTTGCAATTCAGTCTCGGCACTGCCATCGGACCGGAAACCAGCTTTCAGTTCAGAAAGCAAGACGAAAGAGCTACATAGTGGCATAATCGAAGCTCGGCTGCGCAGAGCGAGGATAAGACCGCCTTAGATTGATGTCACAACTCAAGACACTTCGTCCTGCTTCTGCGAGCATAGATGCCCAAGGAAGACGAGCAGCACATTGCGTTGGAGACACCCATGTACTGCCTGAGCACTGCGGATTTCGGCCACGACGTGGCAGTTTACAATCGCTTGCGGATAGACGCCTCCAAAGATCTTGCTTTGAGTTGTCTTATCCTTGTCTCTTACACACTCGGCCGGCTGGTCAATCTGTGGTGCATGCGGATATCCCATGCGCAACGAGTTCAATCTATCCAAGTTTTTGATAAGTTGGATTGGCGGTGGACACGGGTCGACTTGGCGCTTCTGAAGCTTCAGAGGCAACGAATACGCTCCCAAGCTCTAGATGGTCAAGTCAATTACAAAGCAACTTTCGCTGTGCCTGAAGTGGATGTCTTCATGTCAAAGGTTGGGAGTCTGATCATGACAGATTTCCGAACCCGACAGGGCCTGGACTCTATGAGAAAAGTCCAAGCTGCAGGTACATTGTCGTGAAACTCTGCGCCGCCGAAGGGATCGTACCGAAGACACCCTGGAGGATGATGACCTTGCTGGGTTCGAGTCTTGTCAGCTGCCCAATGCCCAGCTATGGTGTTCGCAGCAAGATGTGCGTGTGCATGTCCAGACTGGGTCTCGCAGACGCAGCTGCAACTGCTCACGAAAGAAGAACATGAAAGTTCTCTTTTTTCGGCAATCCGCGTCTCGCATGATCCTCGCAGGCACAGCCACATATTCATGGCGTGTCACGTCCTCTTAGCTCCAATCTTGAAATTATGCGTGCTGCCAGCCGCGTCAGTTGCTGGAAGAGCAAGATGTCCCGGCACCGAAGGAGACACGAGCAAATGTCAACCCCAATTTCGCATCCGAGACGGCAGCGACTCGCTCCGATTCCTCGCCACGGGAAGCGTCAAAGCCTCAGCTGGGCTTGTCGAAGGGTTTAAGGCTTATAAGGTCTTAGGGTTTAGGGTTTAAGGCTTAGGGTTTTAAGGCTTTATGGCTTTAGAGTTTTGGGGTTTTAGGGCTTTAAGGCTTAGGGTTTTAGGGTTTTAGGCTTTAGGGTTTTAGGGTTTAGGATTCTAGGGTTTAGGGTTTAGGGTTTTAGGGTTTAGGGTTTTTTTTTAACATGTACTGACGGTTACTGACGTGTCTTTCTGCGAAGCAACGCCTGTCGAAACGACATACATGACATCACGTGACAACCGCCACTTCCCAATGAGACGCGAACCAGATGACCAAATGCTACGGTGTGAACTACTCCAGTGGACAAGCGAGATCACCAATGTCATGGCGGAGATATATGCATACAGTGCCAACGCGGCACATCCAGGGGAACTTCGAGAAATCCCTGCTACTGCTCCTTTGACCGTGGACGACGTGGTGGTACAACAGGAACAAGCTGCTGGGACGAATTCTAACAATGGTGGATCTGTTGGGCACCTGGTGATGCTGGGTGATCTTCGGCCCACTCCTTCCAGAGCAAGGTCTAAAAGCCCCACCAGACATCAACGTGAATCTCGTGGGGCTAGCAATGATGAGTCGTCCCTCATGGACCTGGGGCGTACCGATGACGAGGCGAATGAGGAAGCAGAGGAGGAAAGTGATGGCGATGGAGGGGAAAGTGTTGGCGATGATGACGTTCGTGCTGTAGACAGTCGTTGGGAGATGGCTGCTGGACATGAGAGTGACCACGCTGGCATGGAGACTGGGGATGATGCTGATGGAGATGCCAACGCCATGGACACTGGGGAAGATGGTGGAGCATGGTGGAGCTGGAGACGATGATGCCTCGCCATGCGGAGCTCCTCCGCCCTTTTTGGGCCCCATGCAGCTGTCAGCAGTGGACTCGGCGGCTGACAGACACTATGACCTTATGGGGGAGGAGCAAGAGTATGCGGACAGAGCGTGGCTGGTGGAACAAGCTGTCCGCTCTACCATGTGTGAGCTGACCAGCGGCAGTGCTCGTGAAGTTGTTCGTCGCCTCCTCCTGCGCCAGCAACATCTCGCAGAGGTGCAGTACTGGCTGAACAAGGCGTTACAACAAGCCCTGAGGAGTTGTCCGGCCAGAGAAACCCCCATACAGTGGGACTTCCTCTCGCTTTTTACGGACGAAACCTTCGGTGCCTCTAGTGACAACGACATCTTCGCGGAGTCCATATCGGTCAGCACATTCACGAAACTCATGGCCGCATGCAGAGGCTTCGGCTTGCAGGAGAAAAGGATCCGCAAACACATGCATCGTGGAGCTGCTTGTGACCAAACACTTTTGAAGCCTTCGAGCCAAGCTTCTAATTGCTTTCTGTTGCCTCTCGGCCACGTACTAGTAAGCACTGAAACTGCGAAGCGGTCGCGCTCTGCTGGCGGCATGTGCTGCTGAGGCTTGACATCATCCGCAATTGAGGATATCGGACAGCAGTTAAGCAGTTAGACCCACTCACAACCCGTGGTGGAGCGCAACTATGTGGACGCAGCCAGCTTCTTCTGCTATCACTACACAATAAATGGCCGTGTTCGCCAGTGTTTTAGAAGGTGGTGCTGCTGCTGCTGGTAATCGTCACGGTGGTGGCGGCCTAGTCGTAGCAGCGCTAAAACTAGCAGTAGCAGTAGTAGTGGCAGCAGCATGCAGTAGCAGTAGTAGCAGCAGTCGCGGTAGCAATAGCGGTAGCCGTAGCAGTAAGCGCAGCAGTCTCCGTCCTCATCGAAGCAGCAGCGGCAGTTATTGTGGTTTCTGGACTGACAACCAGTTGTGCAGCGAAATTGGTCGCTATCGTGATTCAGTCTCGTGGTGTGGCTTTCGGGCACCATGCGTTCGGCTTGTGACTTCTACTTTCCACGTGGACTGATGTGATCCTGACATGTTCGTGGTCTCCTCAATCTTTGATGATGGCAGAGGCCCTTCTCCAAAATGTCCCGAATCCGGCAAGCTGCTCGGATCCAGGCCTAGCGAAGCCGTGAGCTTCCGGAGCTAATTTCAAAATGGTCGGCCTCTTTCGAGGCGGCCCTGGGAGGAAAGCGCCAGCCTCCGCCTTTTAAAACCGTGAGGGTTAGTTCTCTTTTGGGAAAAACTTCGGCCCTTCCCTCCGTGCTTCTGCGAAGCAGATATGAGCCCTGACCTGGACTTGATCAGGGCAAACCTGCTGCACAGTTGGAGCCCAGAGCCACAGCTGTGAAGCCTTGGCGGCCCACGCGGACCCCCTATCTAGGCAAGGTAATCTTGAACAGCGTAACTCAACACTCTAAACATCTTCAGCCCTCAAGCACAAGCGTTTCGGATGAACGGTTCATTGCGAAGTGAACCCCATCGGGAGTCAACTTCTTCAAAGTTTCTCTGAGCTTCAGGAGAGAGAGAGAGAGAGAGAGAGAGAAAAAAAAAGAGAGAAAGAGAGAAAGAGAAAAAGAGAGAAAGAGAGAAAGAGAGAAAGAGAGAAAGAGAGAAAGAGAGAAAGAGAGAAAGAGAGAAAGAGAGAGAGAGAGAGAGAGACAGAAAGAGAGAGAGAGAGAGGTCATTGTCATGCTCTCGGAGCTTCACCGACGACGAAGCTCGCTTTCGCTCAGAACTCTGCCCTCTTCAGTGACCTGCAAGAAGCGAGAAGGAACACCGTTGAACCACCTTAAGCCTCAAATGCCACATGGGTGGTTGTCAAAATTATGGTCCCTCTTTGGGTCCCTAATATAGTACGGCACCTAATATTTAGGGTACCCAGAAAGGGACCATAATTTGACAACCACCCACATGTTTAATGGCCTGGTGGTGGTCGGCGAGGAGGTGGGAGGCCCCGTACCTGCCAAGCTGTGCGCAGCACCGAGAGAACTCGAAAGGTGCCGGTGAACAGCACAGATTCCAAAGCGCGCATGGATGTATCTGCCACCATTCCGGGTCGAGAAGTGGCTCTGGAACCGTTCTTGCACCTTAGATGACCAACGAGTACCCAGCAAGACCAAACTCGTCCGTGTCAAACCCGGTGATGCCCACCTTTCCTGAATTCCAATGCCAGGTCGAGGCGCATGACTGTGCTGGTGCTCCCGTATCCTGATCCAAACCTTAGATGCAGAGAAGAAGTCTTTCATACCCACATCAGAGCCAGTCCCTTCTGCAGCCCAAGCATCGGTCTCGGGACGAAGGATGTTTTGCGCCTGTCAGCTTTTAAGACTTTGAGAGACGCCGGGACTCGAAGAAGCCAGCACCAGGCCTCGTGGAAACAGTAGAGGCGGCGGTTGTCGACCGAGAGCAGGGCACCCCCTGAAGGGATTCTGAGCCGTTCAGGGTTTCGGGTTCTTCGGCTGGTTAAATGGGGGCCCAGAGCCCTCACCCTGCCTTTGCGGACAACCTCGATGACCAGCCGGTCATCCTTCAGCGGGTACTCGGGATCCTTGACGATCGCCTTGGCAGATCACCAACTCATATCCCGAGCTTGTTTCCTGAGCTTGCTATCTGGCATCTCGAACTAAAAGCTGGAAAGGCCCTTGATTTGACTTTGGGTCTTTCATCTCTCTCGCCTCAGCTGACGTTAGTCTATGAGTCCCTAAATCACGCTCCGGGTGCGGTACAGGAACCCCTCGGGATCTCTAATGTTCGCTGTATCTCAAGTGTATAACTCCGTTGACATTTCGTGATGTCTGGCTTCAGTTCTCGTCATGTTCACATCCAAAGCCCGCCTCGATGAGCTGTTGGAAGGACCCCCCATCGCGGAACTGTTTGCTGCATTCGGCCTGCAGACACTTCACCCCTCGGGCATTCGCCATTTGCGGGGGGGGTATCACAGAAGCATTTGCCGACATGCATGCGACACTCCCTCTAGCAAGAGAAATGCCCCCACTCGGGTGGCAGGTCAGTGATGTACGGCGAGCCTGCGAGTAGAGCACCTCCGTACACTTTACCTTCCGAGGAGAGCATGCAGGTTGTACGAAGAAGGGGCGTGTGAGCCGCTTGCGGAACATGTGGAGCAAGGCACCAGGTGCTCGTAGCCATCCGTGCTGCTCAGAGCTTCAGCCCACCAAGCCTGGCTGAGCGGGAGAACAAGCGTTCAGAGTTCAAGCACTCTTCGCACGTCAGATTTGCGTTGAGCGAACTTCCGACTTCTGATGTTATTGTAGTTGGTTCCAGTTCCTTTACGCAGGGCCAGAGGGAGCATGACTTGCGTCGCCCTGCTCGGATCTAGAAGACATGCGGCTCCGACTGGTAGCTGTGACAACCTGTCCGGCCTCTGCCGCAACTTGCGCCGGAATGCGCATGGAAGGATCCTCATAGAGCATCCGCTCCACCTCGGTCCGTTTTCGGACTAGGCTCCGAAGTCCAAACTGCAATGTTCTGGCATGGGAGGCCCTACCTTGACCTACCGTACCCTATCTTCCTTTCTTAACTCGCGCCCAGCAGCGAACTTCTGCAGCTCCTTGCGCTCCGTTGGCCTCAAGCGACGCGAGAGACTTTCTTGCCGTAGCCATCAGGAGAGAGGGCCTTGACTTGGCCTATTATGATCATTATTAGGACTA